CCCACTAAAGTCTTACCTTACTCCTTTGAATCTTCTATAAAAAGAAAGAGTTCCGTATCTCTATACTTCAAAAAGGCTGAGAAAGTCACTAGGGGATATTCTGATCTCTCAATTGGTTATTCACACGTCATAGACAGAAGTAGGTGTACAGAAGCAAGTGTTTTCAAAAATAGAAAGAGGTGGGCATGGCCACTGTGTTTGAGTCATTAAATATAGCGATATCTCACCAAATAGAAAAACTAGGAGGTTCTTATTTTATATTCTAGCTCGGCAATATACGTAATTTGAGTTTCTAATTAGACTTTGTATTTGGACATCACAAACATCTAATTTGAATCAATGCTGCATTCAATGTACCATGTGACACAAAAATCGATATTAAGGTGTGTTATTTAATATTTACTTTTAAATTAAGAAATTAACTAATGTATAATACTACAATTTTAATTATAATCTTCAATTTGATACTAAATTTATTAACATCAAATTATAAAATAGTGGTTAAATAAATTTTCGAATGCGAATCAATAAATGCGATGACATGGTCATTGACTGGTGACCTGTGTTCATAGGGTTAAACTGCATTTTTCTAAATATCTAGAAAACATTTAATTTCTGACAATTGCAAAAATAGTATTTATTTATCCACAAAAACGTTTTGTAAACAATTAATATTTATATTTTATAGTAATAGATTTTTGGTTTAACTTTTGAGCAAAGCATAATGACTGATGATTATTAAGCCTAATTTGTATGTGATATTCTACATGTTTGTACTAAATGTGTATGTGAAGCCTCATGTTATTTTGACTCTTCACACATTTTATAGCAACCTTATTTTTGTTTCTTACCCTCTTATTACTAACTTCTTATCTCTCTTCACTGATTCCTTCCCATATTTCTCTATGCATTTTTTATTTTCAGAACTACTTCACTAATTTAATTGGTTCAGATTAACAAATAAATTAACAGATGGATGTTTTATATCCTTCTATGTGATTGATAAGGACCTTGTCTCACAATCTATATTTTATTACACAGCTCTTTTTGGTTCTTTACCTTCCTCTTTTTAAAGCTTTTTCAACCCATTACAAGTCTGTCTTAATTATCAATTAGCAGCATTTTTGACAATAATATAATCCTGTCATTTATATTTCACTAGCAATGTAAATTGTCTCTTAATATTATCGTCAACTCATTATATAAAATAGTATAGACAAATAACAGTAGTGCATTTTGTCAACTTCTAACAGTATGTACATTAACAAGTGCCTTACTTGTTTTCTTGTATGCTGTTAACCTAGTTATTCTGAAGTTATGATTTGATTCGGAGAAACTGACTGTGAAGTAATTAGTCAAAGGTGAAGAACAGAAGGCTGATATGAACTGTAGGAAGTGGTTGATATGTAAACTGTTAACTATTTGTATAGATGGCAGCAGCACCACTGTTGAAAAGTTTGCACGAAATATACTGCAATACAGTGTTGTCAGTATATAAATTATATGTACATCCTTTGTTACATAAAGAATCAGCAACATAAAGTGAAACTGAAGAAAATAAGGAAAATGCATTGTTGATTGCTGATATGTGTGTATATCATTAGTAACGTTATTAAAGTTTTGTCTATTTGCATTCAGTCTTGAATCTGTGTCATCAAAGGAAGTGTTGTTTTTGGAGATATTTTTTACTGTTTCTTATAAATATAAACATTTGTGGTCATTGTTTGAGAATAACTTTTTGAGTACAAATTTACTTAAAATTCTAGTTGGCTAACATAAGTATAACTGTGGATTTAGTGGTTATTGTTCTTGAAATATTTACTTATTCTCAATCATGTTCAATTGTACACAGATTTAAATATCATAAAATCTTTTACTAGAAAATGTCATAAACATGAAAAATATATTTCATATATGTAAAATGTATGTTGCATTTGTTCTAAATGTAATATCATGCTTATTGCTGTAAAACTTATCTCTATGACACATAAAAAAAGTAAGAGGGAACAAATAGTACATAATCATGCATAAAAAAAAACAATCTTGTAGCTGAAAAGCAACTAACAGCATTAACTATCATTCATCTCCAAAACCCTTAATGTAAAGCACTAATTTCACAATCTCATACCATTAGGAGGGAATTAACATTTGCTGGGACTAGTTTTTTAGAACTTTGCATATCTTATGTTTTACAATTGTTGTTATCATAGAACTTTGCATATCTTATGTTTTACAATTGTTGTTATCAGAACTTTTCTATGCCTTGATTAATTGCTAATGAGGGAAAATTTTATTTACAAACATAGTAAAAAAATTACAATTTTGTATTATTTTGTTACCTGTTGTGTGTTATTTTGCTTGCAGAGTGAAATCAACAAGCTTAAAGAAGAACTAAATCAAGTCAACTCAGTATGTATTTAGTTTTATAATGTATGTCTGTAAGTAAAACAAAACCAAGATTGCACTTAACAAAATTGATACTTTATGTTTCGTGTCAATTTAGGGTGAATCTTTCTCTTTGTGCTGCCATTATGACTAATAGAGGACAGTGTATTGTGTTTTTATTCCTGTTTTCATCTTTTTAACCAAAGAATATAAATTCTACAACATAGAACAAAAAACAGTGTTGCTTCTTTAAATAAAATTATTCTGATATGGTACATTACTTCTTCTTACATGTATAGCTATTCTTGTTCAGTGCTGCCCTCTATATGCAAAATATTTTTTGCATACCACAAGCCTTGAACTTTCACATACCCCATGATCAACATGGTTCAACTGCATTTCACATGTAAATCATCATGTGACAATCGTCCACCAACAGGAATGCAACACGCCCTCCCGACTCTTGTATCTCCCTCTATTCGATTCTACCGAACTATCATTTCTTGTTAGGCAATGATGAAGTGCCAACGTTTTTTCTCCTCCTAACTATGCTGTGCCTTCCCATGCATTTCCTATGGGATCTACTCGGCCTCGCTTTGCCTTTTTCGATATGCTTTCTCAGGTGTGTTCCATTTTCATATGATACCGTTCCTTCATTTTTCTTACATGACACATGTCATTAGGGTCCCTTACTTTCCTTCCTTCCTCCTCCTTGGTGCTGTTGCCCACTTTGGCCCTATCCCTTCACTCGTGGTTTTTTTGCTGTTGGGATCATATTGGGAAGGATGCTGTCTTTTCACAGGTTCATCTACCTTTCCCTTATCATCGTGACTTCTGGATGGACCCTTTTTTTCATTGATTTGTTTTGGGGGTTATTTCAAAGTCTTTGGAATCATGTGTGGACACATTTGACCCTCTAGTCTTTGGTTTACTCGTTTTTCTCATTCTAACACTATGACCTCTCCCATAACTGTTTCTTGTCCTGCATCCTCCCATCCTTTACCAGTTTCTAACACAAGGAATTCAAAATTTTGCTGTGTGTGTCTCGAAGTCAGTTTCATTGTTGCCAGCAGTTCCAGTGACTTTCAGGTGGTTTCCAATCTGGTGGAGGCACGTTTGACCAATTTTGTTCCCTTGTGGCAGATATTCACTACCGATTCTTGGGTGATCCATATTTTGTCAAAAGGATTTTTTATCTTTTTCCTTTCCTCTTCACTTTTGTTTCCTGTACCTTTTTCCGTCCCATAAACTCGGGATCCAGCTATTTGTCTGAGTCTATACAAGGTTGTGCTGACTCTTCTATCTGAAAGAGCTGTCAGCCAACCTTCTTCAAGATTTTACTCCAGGTTTTTTTATCCCATGATCAATCTGTCCTGCCTCAACCAATTTCTGGTTTTTCTCAGATTTCCCATGGAGCCCTTTATCACACTTAAGAGTTTTTTTTTCTCTTTAGGCCTGTGGATGACCAAGGTAGATGCCTTGAATGCCTATCTCTGTATTCACATTTCTCAGTCCAGATGCTATCTTCAGTTTGCTCACTATGGGGTTGTGTATCAGTTTTGCACCTGGTCTATTGGGCTTGCTTCAGCATTATATGTATTTTATTAGGTGTTCACGGTTTTGCCCAACTTCTGCATGCCCTAGGGTTGTGTTTCCACCACTACATGGATGATTGGGTCCTGTTAGCTCATTCCGAACTAGAGTCTTCTCACCCCACACTTCTGTTGCTGACAGTGTCAGCTTGTGTTTGATAGATTCTATACTTGGTGAAGTTTCCTTTTGCCTACTCACTGTCTTATCCACTTGGGTGTATTTTTCAACACCTCCCTTATTTGGGCCCATCCTTCTTTACTTCTTCTTCGTTTGCCAGTGCTTTTAGTTCTCCATGCATTTACTGCTTTCTCAGTTTCTGCACCAAAGGTTCTGTCACTTTTGAGGACTTGGGCTTCTATTGAGGCTCTTATTCTTTTGGGTCAGGTACATATGTGTTCTATTCAGAGGTCTCTGCATGGCCCATGGAATCTTGCTCAGGATCCCTTGGACTCCCAAATTACCCTTCCTTACATACTATCTTCATTTGTTGTTAAACAAGGGCAGCACAATGAAAGGAGTACTGCTTCCTCCACTTTGTCTGGATTGGCAGTGAATCACAGATGCTTCTCTCCAAGGTTGGGGAATGTTGGTCTATCAGCAAGATTCTCACATTCTAATGTCTTATCATTTCAACATCTTGGAGCTTATGGTGGTACGATATGATTTGGTTCAATTTCTTTCATTGTTACAGTAGCAACATGTCATGCTTCATTCTGGCAATTCCACCATTGTGGTCTATTTTTATCACTATGGAGGCACCCATTACTGTTTCCTTTCTGGTCAAACATTGAACCTCCTTTCTTGGGCCTATATATTGCAGATAGATCTTCTTGCGTGTCATGTTCCAGGAGCTTTTCACATTGTGGTGGATCATTTTTCAGAACCCAACCAGGTTTATCCTATTCAGATGTTTCTCAACCCTCAGATTTTCAGGAAAATATGCAATCAGTGGGGTACTCCTCATCTGTATGCTTTTGCCACTGTACTCCAACATCACAATACCTTTCTTTTTGGTTTCTAGTTCATCATTCTCAGACCATGGCATTGGATTTTCTCAGTCAGAACTGGACCAGCTGGTTTCATTTACATTCCTTCCAGATTCATTGACCTCCTCATTGTGTGGTTGTTCTGGATCTATTTTTCCTTCTCAAAACTTTGGCAGCTCGTGAGGATCATTCTTCCTTCTTGTTGTTTTCTCTTCCATCCCGTTCCCACCTTTATTCCCAGTCTGCTTCAGATGGACTTCTATGTCCAGTATGTGTTCTTCGTTGTTTCATTGCTTGCATGGCCTTCTCTACTGGTTCCTGTTTCTACATTTTCATTCCATCAAATCGTTCATCTGTACATGACCTTTTTTCTTCTACCCTTAAGATTTGGGTTCATCAATTAATCTCTTTCTACCATTGTTTGGTTGTTGGGTTCCTGTATGTGTGATTGGTTGTGGATTTGTGCACATGTGGCTATTTTGCAGATCAGTTTACACAGTATATCCTTTCATTTCTACTTACTCTGAGGTGAAGATGGCATGGACCCTCCTAGCACCATGGGTCAGAGATTGTATTCTCAATACCACTTGGTTTTGGACTGGAGTTGACCAGCCACGTATGGTCCATCATGTCCTAGTCACTCTACACCTTGGAGCCCTTCCATTTTAGCTTTCCCCACAGTCCTGTCTGTAGATGGTTCTTCTACAGTGTTTTTTTCTATGGGATTGAGCTTTTGATATACTGTGATTCAGATTCCAAACCAACTGGTACAAAAGTAGTGCAGTTTTCCACATGTGTTCCTTTCCCATTGGGGATCTTATTTCATGGGTGTTCTTACAGTGCTTCAAGGGTTATTTATCTTTTAGCCCTCGCACTGGTTCCTCTGCCTATTCAGTGTGGGATTCTAGGTATACATGTGAGAAGAGGTAATGTACTGTATAGGAAGCTATTATTTTCCTATACTGAAAACATATTTCCAATAACTACTTACCTTTCTCGCTTTTTTTTTCTTCTTAATCTTGATGTGATAGTTCGGAAGACTTGAATAGAGGGAGTCACATGTGTCGGAAGGATGTGTCTCACTTCTGTTGGATGGAGAATTGTTGAGTGATGATTTACATGGGAGATGCAGTTGAACCACATTGATCATGGGGTATGTGGGAGTTCAAGGCTTGTGGCATGCGGAAAACTTTTACATATAGAGGGCAGCACCAAATGAGGTTAGCTATACATGTATGAGGAAGTAAGTGCCTATTGGAAATATATTTTCACTATAGGAAAATAATAACTTTTATAATAATAACTGAATTTTACAGCTACTCTGGTAGACTGGGGCTTAGTATTACATATGTATTCTGATGTTAGATTTAAGTGAGATATTTTTGCATAGTATTGTGTTGTTGCAACTAACAATTGTGAAGTTTTCATTTGATTGTTGATTTTTCATTCTTGTGTTACTTGATTTCAAAAGAGATAATTGTTGATTATTTTTATTGTAATGTTTAATTTTGGTATATATATAATTTGATTGTTCATTCTTATAACATTTAATTTCAATAGAGAATTTGTAATGTTTATTCTGCTAATGGTTGATTTCAAATGAGAGGTAAATATAGCTCTACTTTTAAGATGTGTCCATAATGTAGGTAACAAACAGTTGTAAATATATTTTATTCTTCATGAGTAGAAATGTCTAAGTTTGTTAACTATTATAAATTCCTTCTAAAAATATTCATATATAATCCTTCCCATTAGCTCAAAGTTCCTCTAGAGTCTAGAACAAGGTCATAAAGAATTTATGATCAGTCAGATAATCATAGCTCTGTACAACAAATCTAATATTTTAGTTAGGTTCATAAGCCATGTACATTTCTTAAATACACTCGATAAAATGTTTATAAAAAAATCATTTAAAAATGACCACATAGCTACATATAATAGCAGAAAGGGATAATGTGTCGTACTTTGCCCAGAAAGATGTAGAAACAAGCTACAACTATCACCATCAGCTGGATTAACTCATTAATGCAGAACCTTATCAGTATGAACATACACAATTACCAAGGAATACAAATGTGCCACTGTTATAGATTAACCAACTGAAAAGTAAACGGTTTGAACCAAAACATTCAAAATAGAGAAAAAATCTTACAAACACATTTAGAGTTTGGTATTTTAATTTTGTTGTGTATGTAATTCACAACACTAAATTGGTTATTGTATACCAGCTCACTCTTATATTCATTATATGCACTTTTAGTTTTGCAGTTATAAGTATATGCTTTTGTGATTTACAGTCTTTAAATGTGAGAAAGTGTTGCAATAGATCACAAAGTGTTATGTCAAGCTGTATGAGTGTTCACACTATTTTAACAATTATGAATCACATTGGAAACTACTCTCTTGAATATTTACTTGGTAAGTCCAAATTGTACATTTTTGAAAACTGGACCCGAGGCATAAGATTCACGTGCTTGTGACTTGGTTGGGTTTTTTTTTGTCTGTTTTTAATGAAAATAGAATAAGATTTCTTAATTCACTTTTGCTTACCACTGATGGTATTGTCCAAAACATCTAAAACATTTTATCCCCAATAGACGTGTAAGTTATAGCCCATTCTTTATATCTTGAATTATAGGCATTGTTTAGTCTAATTTTTTTTTTATTAACACTTGTTGATTGTATTATTTTCAGTGGGCTACTAGTTGATGAACGTTTTTAGGAGTTTTTCTTTTTTTTCTTTTTATCAATTTAAAATCTGTTATATATATATATATATATCTCACAGGTAAATTAAATTATACCAATTTGTATTCATGATTATTATTATTACAATTCATTGCAAAATTTAGACTGAGGTGTTAATTCGTTACTATTCCAAATACTGCTAGCAATATATATAGAATTAAAATGGGATATAGCAAGCCTTACAATATCTTGAAAATTAAATAATAGGTTGAACAATTGCCAAGTTTTTATAAGAGTTAGAACTCTTCGTTGGATCGTATTGTTTACAACAAAGACGCATGCACAGAATTCAAAGAACTTGCGTGCGTAGTGTTTGGAATGTTGAGCGTGAAAATTCAAGACAAAATTACATCTATTACATAAAAAGTACAAGTCATGAAAAGATAAGTAAATAGCAATTAAAATTTAAACAAAAAATGGAAATATAGAAATCATTCATTTAAACAAGATGGTTATAGGGCTCCCAGATTTGAGATTAATCTCCTTTTCAGACATTCGCTTTTGTGAATGTCTGTTGGAGCACTAATAAGTCCAAGGATCAAAAAGTCCTCAACTGTATGGTTGTTGATGGTGAAATGTTTGCCTATAGATGTATCTTGTTTCTGCAGTTTAATATGGTTTAGATGTTCACGTGCTCGATCACCGAGTTGGCGGCCTGTTTGTCCAATGTATAAACTGTTGCATCATTTGCAAATTATACAGTAAATGATACATTCAATGGTACATGTAAAGGGCTGTTTTATGTCAAAAATTGTGTTCTTTCCTCGTATACATGAGGTGCTGTATATATGTGGGCAGATGACACACCTGTTTCATTTACATGTGTGAGTGCCTGGAGTATCATTTTGTTTTTATCTTATGATTACTGTGCACCAGGAGTTTTTCTGAAAGACAGTACCCTGATTCTCTCATCCACGATGCAGCCACGTAAGCTAGTTCATATACCCAGGATCAAACACTCAACCCTACCAAGAAAGAGCACACCAGTCATATTCCACTTGTGCTGACATACCATCAGATCAACAAGAAGATCAAAGATATTATACTAAACAATTACACAATACTTACTGAAAACCCTACCACTAAATTTCTTTTCAAAGACCCGTCCACTATTTCTTACAGACATGACAAAAACCTAACTCAAAACATCATCCTTCTTTAAGTAAAAATATATAAAAATTTGGTGATTATTCAAACTATTATTTAGTTTGATATTTTCGTCACCTATGCGGTTTTAACTATATTTGTCTTACAATATCTTGAACCATGATAGTGGTTCATAATAGGGATCACAAGGAATTTTATAAGATCCTAGCAGAATGTTCAGGCAAAAAACATCTTAAACAGTAAAGATTCAGTTCAAACAACACTTTAAAACCTTTACTATTGACTCCTAAGGCTGTACACATATAAAAATGCATAAATAAAGTACACATGTTAGACTAATAAGGAAAAGAAAATTCACTCAAAATGACCCTTTTTTAACTCTTATTATTATTGTTCTCTTGCCAGCATATAACAAAAAAAAAAAACGGCTTGGTATATTGCACCCAAACCTTCAGTAGATTACTAAATAAGGTACTGCAAATGTCGTAGGGGTATTGAAAAGTCAATTTGTTTATTCTATAGTTTACATAAGCTCAAAACATCATAATTCTAGTGTAAACGATGTTATTATTACTCCTTGAAGTTAGCTTTCTTAAAAATATCTGGTGTTCCTTTAAAAAGCTGAAGTAAGGGTGAAATAGGAATTACCAGCCAATAATAGATGAACATTAGATGACTGTAACATGCAGATACTCAATGCTTTATACACTATACAATTGGTGTCTTTATGGAGCTAACTCCTACATTATATATGAAGTAAAGAAGTAAAAAAATCAACACACGTATTTCTTAATTTTATTACATACATTCATAGTACAATTAATTTAAAAGACATAAAAGCTTATTTAAAATGATGTTTTAGATGTATATGATTTATTTGAAAAGGCTGCTTTTCTACTGGTAAAATTTTATATGCACTTATATTTATATAGAGAGAATTCAGTTACACAGAAACTATATGTGCTCACTATATTCTCAAACAAATCTACATGACAATCTCCAGCAGCAGCTTAACATTTTCATTTGAACTAATGTGATCAAATATTCAGTACCTACAGGAAATCAACATGAACTGTATCAGCTAGTTACTAGCTATGTTTATTATCATTACAATGTATAAAGTTAGCTACTATATCAACTAATCCTTTGCCCATAGTTGAGCATAAAAAAGAGCCAGCAAACAAGATAGATAAACAGTTGTGAATTTAAAAATCTGCAAATAAGGATCGTAAAAAAAAGTAAGGAAGCAAGGCTGAAGATAATGTAGGCATTATTTACTTAAACTACATATCCCTATTTTGACACCATCAAATGTAATTCTAGGTAACAGCATGGAGCCAAAATAGTGACTTGTAGTTTGAATAAATAATATCTCCGGTATCTCCAGCCTTGTTTCCATATGTTTTTTGTGATCCCCATTTACAGATTTTTAAATTCCCAATTTTGTATTTGTCATGTATATTCAATTATGAAAGTGTGATTTTTGTTAAAGGGTTCAATTTTAGGGTATGAAATTTTCTAACCTAGATCAGAAAAGAACTGAAAGAAGAAAATCAAGATTTGAAGATACTTTTAGAGGATAAGAATCAAGAACAGCAGAAACTAGAGGAGGTAATTCACAAGCTACAAGAAGAAAATCAGACGTTATCTAACAGACTTAACGAACTTCAAAAAAATGGTAAGATGAAAATTGGAACATTAGTTTCATAATAAATTACAACCCAAGTTATTCTCATTCTAATTTATTTGATGTCACTAAAGACACTACTCTTTATGCTTTTATGTATAACTGGGAAAGTAATGTGAAGATTTCAAATACAGCAAAGATGATTTTCCTACTTTTTTGTTTAAGAGCCTTATACTTATGATATGTTGGATTTTTACTATGATATTTATGTGACATGTAAATAAATAAAGATCTCATATTTATCTAAGTTAAGCACACATAGGTCTTATAGAGTACAAACTCAAGTTACAGTGATTCAGGTGTTGCTTCCTCCACGTCCCAGAAAATACATGTTCATATGAAATGAAATGTATTCTGTTATTACGTAGGATTTATGTCTTCACGTGGCATGCCTACAACACCTAGGTGTTGTATCTATTAATATTTTTGAGCCTGACCTTTAAATCTTGACAGTAAGCATTGACTGAAATTTAATATTTTATATACACACTTCCATGTTTTTAAATATAGCACTAAAAATAACTAACATATGTCTTCTCTACCTGAATGATTTTTTTCAATAACATAAATATGTTTTAAGCATGCAAACAAACAATCTATTCTGATATGCTCTCTTACCTCTTCTCCAAATAGCTTTTCTCAATTTATACTTTCCTCTATATGTGCAAATTTTCACTCACCACTTGTCTTGATACTCCCACCTACCCTCATTTGTATTTATGTGAGACATCTGCATGCTATCAATGCAAACCCTACACCAATAGGAGGGAGAAACAACTATCATCACTAGTTTCCTTTCTTCCATGTAAGTGTACTTGGTGGCTTTGGTGAGTATTTGTACAGAGAATGGTTATTTCATGTCAGGTGTTATTTGTCTGTGATTAGTTAAAAGATGATCTGCAACTGTGCTTCTTTCATGTTATTTATAAAGAGAGTGTAGGGGTGTTGTAGGCTATGTTTTTATTTTAGACATTTGTATTGTTGTTTGGCCAAAGGGAGGTTTGATATCATGTGGTGAGTACCTGGTTTAATTAACATCTCGAATTTCCTTCAGTTTTAGAATAGTTAGAGCAGTATAAGATGCAAGGTAGACTATAGTAGATGGTATTTGTTTTTTGTTTGTAAGCTGCATTTAGCAGGGCTGGTGTAACAATTAGGCAAACATGGCAGTCACCTAGGGTGGCAAAAAATTGAGGCTGCCAAAAATGATCAAACTATAAAATAGAATTTTAACAATCAATAATGCAGTTTCAACTGTATCATAGATTGAATATTATGCAGGCTGGGAATAATCCAATAAGTGTCAAGAACATTCACTTAATTTCAGTATTCTTTGAAAAAACACCTTTTAATACATAGATATCTATGATGCAGATGTGCATCATCTGAATTCTGTGTTTGGATTCCTCTATGATATCTGCAGCTTACAAAATATGACATCAAAACAGATAATGGAACATTGCGTGAAACTAGAGTCAGCTTTGCAACATGGTAATTCCAAAGATATTAATGCTGAAGATTTGTGCAGTGAATTGCAGGCACAGTGACTACCAAAGTGTCTTATACCTCAAGGTGTATTGAAGTTTGTTTGTGAATATAAACTCTTTGACATCTTCATTGCTGTCTACATTCTCTTGATCTTCTCATTTTTGTTGCCAGTGGGGAGCATAGCTTTTCAAAGCTGAAAGTGATCAAAACCTTTGTTCTTCAAAAAAAAAGACTTGCTGGACTGACCACTGTGTCAATAAAACAGTTAATTTCAGAAAAAACACGATCTTAAAGAACTCGTTTCTAAATTTTTCTAGTTTTTGACACAATTACGAGCAAAAATTTCATCTTGAGCAGCCTGACCTGAAACTATTAAAGGTAGAGATATGTCATTTTAACAGAAGTTAGCTTGAATTGTTAATATATGTTTTGCTGTTTTACAAATTTTATGAGGATTTACTTTTATTGGCACATCTTATATGATAAATTATATTAGACTTAATGCAGTGTAACTAATGATCTAGGGTTAGTGAAAAATGTGGAACATTTAATAAGATAAAGTTTGTATTGTCATAATTTCATTTATGTTAGGTGTAAAATAAATCAGTACACGTACGACTTCATTCAAGATTTTATTCCTTTATATTGGAAGTGGTTTTGGGGAAGAATTGGCAGGGGTGCCAGGTGGAAAGTTTGCCTATGGTACCAGTTACCCTCGTAAGCATATTTCTGTTTAGACATATTTATTTGTGATGTGAAGCCCATTGTTAGTTGTGTAAAACCATGGAACTCAGAAGCATTAGAACTGTACCCAAAGAAATAAAACACTTATCGTCATTAAGTGGACTGGACTTTGTATTCTTTTTTTACTGAATACCATGAAAGAACTCTCCCAATAATAAAAACTGTTACAGCTGTATTTGCTATTACTCTTTTATAAAGTAAGTAATTTTCTGATAATTGTAGAAACTCCAAATTTCTGTAATTTTTTTTCCATATTCAAGCCTAGTATTTATAGATGTCTGTTTGGTATTTTTAAGGGAGCTAGTACAAAACTGTGAAAGCTGCAAAGTTGTAAAATGTAAGAAAAAGTGCCGTTTGTTATTTTTTTATATTCTGTACAAATGGGAAGAGATACTTGTAAAGAAATATTCTGAAAGTTGAGAAGGTAAGCAAAATTGTTGTGATTATAAATCAAGCTTCTAGTATCTTGACAAAATGGTGGTATATAAATTGTTGTCTTAATTTGACTTAATTTTATATCTATGCTGGGTCAGTGATAAGTCTATGGATGTACAATGTTAAAATCCAGGGTACAGTTTGTTGCAGTGGACAGAGCACATATGGAAAATTGTGAAGCTTTGTGCTAAAACAGCAAGAATGACTTAGTTCTAACATTGATAGTATCTTCTTAAAATGCTGCTCTATAAACTCTTGTTTTCATCTGGCTTTGTTTTGTTTGTTTAACTTTCGGAAAATTGGAAAAGGAATTGTTTAAATGTAATTCTCACATTTATCCTTCCTGAACTTTGAAATCACAGCTAAAAAATTTAATTACATGTATAATGTAATTAGAAATTGTATTAATGAAACAGAAAATAATCAAAACAAAACCTGTGCTGGTTATTGAAAGTCCTAACTGCAGTACTGAGCTCATATCAAATTATGATACGACCTGCATATCAGAAAAATAAAATTTTATATTTGCTCAGTGTTTCAGCTTTTAACCTTCTAATACCATCACTTTTTATAAACCCTAAATTTTACTTAAGAAAAGCCTTCAAAAAGATATGGTAATGATAGAAAGGCATTTACTAGGCATGTTCCCATATATTTCTATCTTTTTGACAATTTTGTAATAACTGTTTGTTATTCTGAATTTATTTTCAAGGAAATGCAAAAACATGGGAGAATTGTCAAAAAACTAATGATGTCGGTAAAAGTTGACTTTATTTTAAGAAGTGCAAATGTCTTGTCAATAATGATGGACTTATCAAGTACTTCATCCCAAAGAAGTTCATAAGATTATATATTGGTGTTTCTTTGATTTTTGTTGATTTATTGATATAGGTCAGTCTGATTGTTATTGTGATGAATTCTGTCTTCTAATTATAATATGCTATTCAATGTGGGAGCAGTTGTGTTAGGCCTCCTTAAATGTGCTCTATGATCTTTTGTTTGAATGCGTCTCTGTAATATATGGTTTTCTGTATTTGCTGCTTCTGAAGTTTAAATAATACAATATGGTTTTCTGAAGATATAAGTTGTATTTTCATTTATTACAGTGTTGGTTTCAAATTTACCAGCTGGCAAAGTTAATGAGTTGATAAATAAAAACATGCAGACTTTATTATAACAGAGAAAGTTTAGGTATATAAAAGTGTAAAATTTGTAATTAAGTGTTTAAATGTTAGTTTTCCTTTTTTATTTATAAAATAATGGATAATAATTTCAGACTTAAAATTAGTTTATTGACACAACATTTCTGGCTTTTAGAAGTTTCCCTCACAATGAAAGTCAAAAAGCCAATGAAATAATTTTAAATCTGACTAAAGTTACAGTTAATTTTATTTATACAGAAAAGGAAATGTCCACAGTATTCCAATTTCCATTCTTTAGTTTAAAAGCTTTAAGACATTTCACTATTGCATTTTTTCTATTCCTCTGTTTTTTTTTTTGTTGTCAGAATAGGATAACATACTTGAACTGTGTTTCATGATAAATTCTGTATTACTTCAAATAATATCAAACCTTACAGAAAAAGAACTAGTCCTAGAAATAGACAGATTAAATACCTTGAAGTCATCTTCTGAGAAAGGACCCAGCAGCAGATCTTCTAGTATCCTTCAGCTTGTTGATGCTCTGGAGGCTGAACGAGATCATTTCAAGAAAGAAGCTTTAGCACTGTCTCAGAGACTACAGAGTTTGAAGGTCTGATGTTGCATTCACACTTTGTCTGTTTTATAATTGTTTTTTTTTATAGAAGTCTATTTCACCTCAGATGATGTACATCTAAGTGTGTTTTTCTTTATAATCATTTTGTAACAGCTAGTATAATTAGTTCATTTGGCCAATTCAAGTCCATCTTATTCATATATGGAAAATGACAGACAAATATAGTTGGAAAAGTCTGCATATGTGAAACACTGTTTCTCTTGATAACTGCTGCTGGTAGTGGGTTAGTTTAAAATTTTATGTTATGTTTTAAAATATCTTTTTTTTTAATAATTTACATGCCTACTGAACTGATGCACTTTTTACATATCATACTGGAAGTACAAGTAGATTTAATGGTAAGCCTCAAATTTTGCATACTTAAATAGTACTTTTTTGTAATTGTGCTGCTCTATATTAAAATTTATAACATTTCCTTCACTGAAATGTCTTTACTTTTAAGAGTTTCTGCAACAATATATTCTGAGTACATTTTATCCTCAAGTTTTTAATTGATCAACTTGATTATTTCATTAATTCATCAGTTGTGGATATTCACATAACTAAATTGCATTAGAAAAGTATGTTAATTTAGTTGTTTTTGTAATTTTCATTGATAAAACCAACATTCTCTTGCCCTATTACAAATGTAATTTTATGGTACTTTGGTGATATAAAAGCAATCATTCTTATTTCCCAATAGATTAGATGTTTAAATTATTCTGTCCTATCTTATGTCTAATCATTATCCAGTTGTATTCTGTGGCAAATAACACAAACCTGAACTAACATAAAAATAGTTATAAAACTCTAAACTTGGGTAATGACTCAGCATGAAGAAATTACTGACTCTTACATACGGAAAGGTGTTTTTACTTATGCAGTCGTGTGGTTTTAATCCTTAAATTACTGACTTGTTTGTATACCTGTTTGGGTTCCAAATATTGCATATTATATAGTAGTTTTTGTTGTTACCTGTTTTGGAACTCAATGTAAAGAACTAACAAAAAAAACTGTGGAATATTTCTTTTAGCTATGCATGACACATAGAGGACCCAAGTAATAATAAATGAGGTTAAACATAAATTGTCGTGTATGATTTGTGTTATTAAGAACCCACTAATCAACAATACAATGGGCCCACAAACTATTTGGTCATTAAGTAGTGTAGAAACTTTAGCATAGAAAACCATGAGGATTCACATGTAGACCTCATGTTTATAACTGCAAACTGTGTAAATATTGTGAGATACAAAATAATATTTGCATCATACTGCATTATGATAAATTAGAACAGAAATGAATGTTCACATGAAAAATTGATCTTCCAAGTTGATCTTATTCTAATCTATATTTCCTGTTATATAGTTTAAACTGGTTAATTTCATCAACAAAGAATACTTTTAAAGGTTTAAAAATAAGAAAATATAGGTATTCTAAAATGCCAGTAGCAAAGATTACAATATTGTTATCATATAGATAGAAACCTGTTTTAGAGGATTGTTAAAGCTCTTTCATGTTTTGTAAATTGTTTGAAGTAGATAATGTTATAATACTGTATTGAAAGTTTAACACATACACAATATTACTGTTTGCGCATCAGTGGTATTTCTAAGATTTGGAGGTAGGGGCAGAAAGGAGTAAAGAGTTAGTTGGGACAGTCAAGGGGGGTTCAAATATTATTAAAGTTAAATTAAATAGCTTTTCCATCTAAGAAGTGTATTTATTCTTTTTAATTATTAGAAATGGCAAAATTCGTCAGGCTCTCTTTGCACAGCTTCTCTGGGCTGATGATGTTTAAAAGTACCCTCAAGAGCATCAACCCTTCCCCTTGGTCTTAAACTACCATTAAGACCATTGTCCCCTTGGTCTAATTTGATTGGAGGTACTTAATGTGGTTCAAGTGAGATAGTATAACTACCCTATCCATCAGAAAAAAAAGTAATATTTTCATGTTAGTGGGAGGCACAATATAGGGAGAATTTTAAAATAGAAAAAAACTAAATCTCAAATAGGGAGGGAGGCAAAGTTCTCCAATGGGTGTCTTCTGCCACTGCTGTGTATATAAATAAACTTGTACAACAAAGAAGAATGCCGAAAGAAAAACCTAGTGTAAGAAAACTGACATAAATTGTAGTGTATTTTATCATTGTAAGCTAAGATGTTTGTGCATTACTTTTGATTTCATTAGGCAGGAAACAGATTTTTCTCTTCGGAGAAACAAACTGAAGAGACTAGCTCTTCACAACAAACACATGATAAAGTTATCAAATTTTTGGAAGAGGAGAGAGATTACTACAAACAACTATACCAACAACAGTTGGAAGACAGCCATTCTATGGGAAGAAGGCGAGCTCCAAGTGGATGTCCAACAACTACAGAAAAAGTTCAGTTTACTTCTGATACATCATTCCTAGCAATTTTTGTGATTTTAGTGTGTGTGCGTATTTATTGTCTAGAAGTTTATGATATATCTGAGATTTATGTACTAATTGTCTAACAATTACTGACTTCTGTGTATTTATTGTCTTAACAAATACTCATCCTTTAGTCACAAAAATTTATATTTAGTATCTAGCAGTTTATCAAATACTTTTATTTCAAACATTGTAAAGTTTATTTCTGCTTTTTCAGATCACAATTGATGGAAATAACAATTTCTGCTATTATTTCTCTTTGAAATTTACTGAGTGATACTTTAGGGTTTTTTCTCTGTGACAGCATGTTTTGTAAAATTCAATTGTAAGTCTAATAATAACATTAAGTTGCTCCATGAAAATCATTACATCTATCTCATAATTTTGTAGGGTGTTTCGACAGTAAATGATGACCTAGGAGAGGTTTTAGAGGAAAGAGACAAGCTGCAGAAAATGTTAACTCAGCACAAAGAAGAACTGGAAGAGGTAATATTTAATGTGTGTTTTATTATAGTTAATTTCTTGGTAAAATATTTTGCCTATGGTGTGGAATAATGTTTCTTATTCTTAGTCAATAATAGTTACTTATGTACAATACTTTATTCATTTGTTAGCATGTTTGTTGTAACAAGACTTGTTTTACAAGTTGTGTAGTAAACGTATTACAAATAGTATTTATTTAAAATAACATGGAATCTGCAGTTATGGCAGTGTATATAAGTTGGTAACTCTTAAGAAGTTTACATGAGAATTAAGGAGGCAGATATCATAGAACAACATCAATATTTATTTAAAACTTATATAAATAGCAGTTGCAAAAACTGTTGCTCATTAGTTCTTAAAAACTTAAATTAATTTGACTACTTACCTTAAACACTTCTTCAGTTAGCTTTTACTTTTGCATAATTTTTCAGTTCTGTATAATATTGTTATTTACATTCTACAAGTTTAAATCATAAGAAAAACTGTACCTTGTTCCATTGTGATGACTCAGGTTATGGCAAAATCTGAATCATGCTAGTGCAATAAGAGGAAGATGTGGGTTAAAGACAACTTTGGCTGACTTTGGTGCTAACTCGTTGGCTTTGTCTGACAACAGCTTTTATATTAAAGTTTTTTCTTTTTAATGTTATAGTTTCCTAATTGTAGTTCCATTACACTAAACTGATTCTCTCATGGATATGACAATGCACAATACATCTACTGAGCCTACCACAAAGGGTTAATTGTGATTATCATACAATATTTCTCTGCATGATGTCAGATAATACTTTTGATCTTTGAGTATTTAATCTTAATCTACTCTGCTGGTGCTTAATGGTAACTTTATCTAGACCTCTGTTCATCCTAAAGTTTGTTCATACTTTTCACCGTGTCAGTCACCCTTTAAATCATAATATGTTTTCTTATTCAATGTACATTGCCAACTGTGACACAGGGCTCATGCTCAACTTGTTTTTAGGGAGCCAATCCTATAGCTCATTTTAAAATGTATCCTTATTAGAAAAATCACTGAATTAAATAGCAGGTGTTACGTGAATTGAAAGGAACTAAAATATCAACAATTTTTGTTGTGAATTCGTATTTCATGAAGAAAAAAAAAGTCAAACCATTTAATTTTTTCAGACCACTTAAATGATTTTATTTCATATATGACTTTTAATTTCTCTCTAAAGCATGGTATAACAGTAACTTTTTGTTCCCCTTTAAAGTAGTGTCCTTCAATAATAAAAATAAATAATGAAAGAAAATATAACCCATTACCATCTAGCTGAAACATGTTTGTCAATAAAATATCAAACACTTTTGATGGAAAGATGGAAAAGGCATACAGTTTACATCACCCCTAACTTTACAGCAATCAGTTCTTTCATATCCTGAAACAGTCATGAATTTGAATTTGTAATAAGCAAAATCCTCAAATTAGCAACATATGGAAAACTTGAAAATAACTTTAAAATTGCTTAGGTGGTGATAAGTTAAACTTACATTAGTGTCCTTACCTAATCAAAATGAATAATGAAAGGAAATCTAGCATGCATCTGTGTCAGTGTCCAATGATGTCCCAACATCCATTTTTTGGATTCTTCCATTGACCCCTGCTTCTCAATCTGGAACCTGCCAGCATTTGGTCTCCTTGTGCAAAGTGATCCTGAGTTCCAAAGATGGATAGATGTTATGGGATCAAAGTCACTTACTGAAAGTGACTGGAACATGACCAGAAGCTGATCAGTGATCCTATCAGCTCCCAGACAAGATCTCGGATTGGTCTTGATCCTCTTCATCTTGTTGAATCCTCTCTCTACCTCAGCAGAACTAGCTGGTACAGACAGCAGTAGTTCAAAGAGGCCACAGGTGTTAGGTAACTTCTCCTTAACTCCAGTGATGATAGCAGCCCATGGCTAGCCTTTTTTGCTATGCCTGGTGAAATTATCTAATGAAATATTTGTGGAAATGTATCAGAGAGACGATCATGAGAATTGTATTATTATTCCTGTTTTTAAATCCTTATTTTATGTTCATTTAAAGTTATTATTTTATATTATGCAGTGTTTTACTAATAATTAGAATTGGTAGAACTTATCGATTTTCCCGATCACAAAAAATCGATTGCTGAGAAATTAAAAATAACACCACCCAGACCACTTTATTCAGAACAACAATCTTCTGATTTGAAAGTATGCTTACAATCACGACCCTATACTTTTTCTTTTGACACAAAGCACGAAACATTATTTGCCTTAGAATAAGATATCATCAGTTAAAACAATCTCTGTTTGTTTTTCATTTACTTACATCAGTTGATACACTGAATGAAAGAAGTGTTAAAAAGCAATGCTCAGTGTCTTGTGAAGCACACCCATTTCTTTACAGACTGTACATTAGCAAATACACACTGTGTGCTTGCCAGAGATCTATGTGGACTTTTCCCTCAAAGTTCTCGGGATGATTCACCATGTGACTCCCATTAGTACCACACTGTGTATTAGCTCATTGTTTGGGGAAGTCACCGAAGAGTGCATGAAAACAGAGCGATTGGAAATTTGGAATGTCCCATTACTTTTCAGTAGGGAAATTTTGTCAACTATTTGAATTGTGCATGTCACTGTTGGAGATGCTACTAAGTTGAAAGTGGTAAACAGATAAATACAAATATTTACAAAATAACTAATCTATTGGACAGCTACAGAACGTTCCATTTCATCATTTGACAGCCCCGTTATTTATGAATCCTTAATCAAAAACAACTTAAGTGTGAAAAATAGGTGCAGCCAAAACAGGGTTGAGCCTCATTTAGGCATCGAGCTTTAGGTCTTCGTAGACCTGGAAGGATAAGGTGCTTATTTGACCTCTTCCTCCCTCCTTAACTGTTATTTTAAATAATGCTTGTAATCTTTTTTATTTTATTTACTATTTATCCTTTCCTTTTCAGGGCCATGTCCATGAGATGTGTGGAATGACAGGTATGATGTGTTGTTTAGCTATTTCTGTTAAAAGTGTAAAAACTGTCTGTACTGTTTTAGGGGTTTCTATACTGTTGTATGAAATCTAGGAATGTAATTTTAATTGCTTCGATGATAAGACTTGTTTTGGTTTCAAGTATGTTTGTTGATTGGCTTTCTGTGATTAGATTTTTTTGTTGTACATTTCAACTGTTAGGTTGTTTCTGGATTTGTTTTGTTGGCATTAGTGTTTCTTGATTTAGTGGTTGTGATCGTGCTGCCTCTGCGTAAGTATATGTTGTAGTCTGTACAACTGCATTCTGTGTTACTGGTGTTGTTAATAGTGGTGTTTTTCTGTTTGATATTTTAGAGTTTATTTCTGGGTGATGTGTGGTTGTTTCTGTATGTTTTTGGTTATTGTGTATATTGTAGATTCTAGTTTTGATGTGCATATATTTAGGACATCCTTTATAATTAGCTGTATGTTGCTGTTGGCAGTTATGGCATAGTGGGTTACTGTGCTGTTTTGAGCATTCTGAGTTATGGTTACACTGGGTTACAACTATGGCGATTGTTTTTCCTTCTTCAGCTATTATGCAATAGTATAATACCCTCAAATATTATGCTTTGGATGTCCTGCGATTGATGTGTATAAACTTTGACCATGTTTGTTGGTGTTTTTGTTCTGCTTGAAATAAATCATTCTGATGTTTTGTATGTGATGTTCTTTTGTGTCAGTTCGTATTGTATTTGTTCTGTTTCTATGCTAGGCTGTACACCTTTGTTACAAAGGCTCTAGCATTGGGTTTGTTTCCGGGTATATGCACTGTGATGTTTTCTGGTTTAAATGCGTCTGTTGGCCTTTGTTCTAGAAGTGCATTGAGGTCAGCGGCCTCCATCCCTCTAACGAGAACACCATCTTTAGCCAGTCATTTGATGGCTGCTAGTTTAACTTCCAGCTTACAATGTTTTATCTCTTGTGCTAAGTGTGGTTCCTTGTAAGTGCCCAGGACACCTTGTATTATTATAGAAAATTTTGGTGATTGTCTGTGTACCTGTGATTTTATGTTTGTATTTTTCATTGTTTCTTTGGTGTTACTAGGAGGAAATCATCTAGTTCTGTATGTGTTTGTGTGAAATTGTTTGTTTCTTTAGTCGTTACAGTTTTTAAGGTTAAACTGTCAACAATACTACCCAATGACATCGTCAACTTTACTGTACATAATCAGAATTGGGCTGATTGTGTGCTATAAATATTGGCAATCGGGGATTTCCAATTGTGACACGATTGGTAAAACAGTAATATGTTTTGTTTTTTGGCTAATGCAGTCTGCAAAGTTGGATTCAGATGTATTTGCCCTAACATATACACTATACATGCAGTAAGGTAGATTCATCAAAAAACGTACTTGTTTGCAATTTTTACTTGGCTGTTTTTGGAAAGTGTTGACAAAAAAGAACTTTTATGTATATCTCTCAAATGTGTGAACCTTGATGCAGGCTTGGTGTCAAGTTAAAAAGTAGCATTCTGACTGAAAACAGTAGTCATCTTAATAAAAGTTTAAATAATCATTCTGTATTTTAAATTTATAAATACAATTTTATATATCAATTCCATTATACTGATACAAAATGTGTGAATATTGGACAAAGTGATGGTATTCTTATTAATTAAAGTTTATTTACTTTGAATACATGGGTATTCATAATGACAACGTTTGTGGATTGTACATGACTGACAAATGTTCGTAAATTTGGGAAGGTCCATTCATGGTTTGTCATAAGTTCTGCTCAGTTAAGAAATGCTTAAATCGACTTATATGGAGTCAAATTTTTAATGGCTCTTTCTATTTTAAGGGGGCACGTGGGCTACCTAGCAGATACACTTTTTACAGGGCCATTAGCTCCCAGGCCCCTGCTAATTTCAACCCCTGATGACATCTGATCTTCTGAGAGGGAATTAAAAAGAATACTTCTCGTATCTAACAAAATATTTATTGAACGGTCATCCTCAATAACTTACAATGATATCTAGAAAATACT